TACAAAGTTGTTATGAAGTCTGTCACATTCCCCCCTTTTTTTCTTTTTTCTTTTTTCCTTTATTTATTTATCCTTCTTATTTCATTGTATTACATATTGTTACTCTTATTTGCCTTGTATGTCCACTGTACAAACTGAACTGAACTTTATAATTTCAATAAAGTTTGGAAAGAAAAAAAACCCCTCCTCGGCCTCTCCCTTCTGCCGTGTTTTGCGGCAAAATTATCCACACCCACCGCCGCGCTATGAATTGTGGGATATATGGGACCACGAAGCGTGCACCGGACCACGCTTGATATTTGGGGAAATCGACGGCGCATTTGGAGTATGCGTTTGAAGTACACTTCAAACAGCCGTCGTTGCGTGGCGGTGACGTAACCGCACTTAAAATGCGTACTTCAAGCGTGCAGACCATGAATTGGGACACAGCCACTGTCGGTAACGTCAGGAGTGGAACATCTGTGACCGCGCGCTTTGTTGCTGCCCGGACCAGACTGCAGACGCACCGTTGCTATTGGTTTCAACGGAAGCTCCAGACGCTCTGCGGCTAAAGGCTAACCATGCTAACGTCAGCAGGGCTGAAACACGGTGAAATGTCACAGCTTATTTCTGATGTTTTCAGCTTCGGCGTGTATTGACGTTGACGTCATCGTCGCGGGGAGCTCGTGCTGTGACCTGATCCCTGATGAGCTAACTGAGGCTAAGAACTAGCAGCGGGATTAGCCGGAGGCTGCGGCTTCAGCATTCTGAGCAGGAGCTGTTAGCCGCTCGGCCAGCGGAGCTCAGCCCGGGATGAGGCGCTGCAGCCGGTGGGGACGACAGCAGGAGGGCGGCCAAGCTGATGGAGGTAAACCCGGTGAATTTCCCACAGCCGTAATTACCGTTCAAAATAACTTTATTCACATTGAGCAGAGAGACTCGTGGATGTAGTGAATGAGGACATAGGAGTGACAGAGGAGGATGTTGATAGAGTCTGATTCACCATCAGCGATGACCCCAGCACTCCCAGCCAATCCGAATTTGGTTTTAAATTAAAGAGCAAGCTGTTCACCTTTCTTCAGAGTATGAGGTACGGGTCACCTGTGAAGACCTCCGAGGTTTCAGGTTCTTCACAGTGTCAGTTTAATCCAATTTCATTTATATTATTAGCACCACAGCAACTGTCACCTCAAAGTACTTTCTACTGTAAGGTAAAGAGCATACAGTAATACTGAGAAAGCCCCAAAGATCTGACAACTCCCTATGAGCAAGCACTTTGGCGACAGTGGGAAGGAAAAACTCTTAACAGGAAGTAACCCCTATTAGAATCAGGCTCAGGGAGGAGCGGGGCCATCTGCCGCGACTGGTTGGGGGTGAAAGAAGGAAGACAGGATAAAGACATGCTGTGGAAGAGAGACCGGGATCAATAACAAGTATGATTCAATGCACAGAGGTCTAATAACACAGAGTGAAGAAGAAACACCCAGTGCATCATGGGAATCCCCGGCAGCCTACGTCTATTGCAGCGTAACTAAGGGAGGATTCAGGGTCACCTGGTCCAGCCCTAACTATATGCTTTAGCAAAAAGGAAAGTTTGAATCTTAAAAGCAGAGCTGCTGGAAGCTGGTGATGAGGTCTAACACCTGTCCACACCTGTATGAGTATTTGAGGGCGGGGTCAGAACTCTGAACTCTAATGGTTCACCTGTGCTCTTCTTCAGGTGTGAGGTTATGACGGGGTCAGACTTTGTCCTGAGACAGTCCAATCTGGACCAAGTCGCACTGGTCCTTGGAGCGCCGACGCCATGTCAGACATGTCTGATCCAGCTGTCGTAGAGGGACAGGCTCCTCACTGTTCTGCTCGGCCCCCCCTGGCAGAGAAGGCGCTGTCCGAGGTCTTCGGGCGGCTGCGGTATCGCGACACGTCACTGCTCATCTGGCAGCAGCAGCAGCTGGAAGCAGCACCGCCCTCCACCTACCTGAGCCGCAGCCAATCAGCCTGGTACAGTAACTATGGCAACCAGGCAGTCCTGGTCCGAGACAGGAGGGGTGCGGACGAGGGGCGGTCCCGGATCTGCAGCATCATGTGACGCAGAGCAGTTCAGTTTGGTCACTAACAAACATTTTGTTTTTAATTTAGAGAACTGTCCAATCAGAGAGAAGCATTAAGATCCCCGCCCCTCTCTCACCCACTGACTGCAGACAAGAATAAAACGAACAGTATTAATTGTCAGCTTGGCGAGCTCCAGCGTCAGCTCTGATGACCAGTTTAATGGACTTCCTGCCCTACAGGGGGCGTCCCGTGTCAGTATCTAACCCTAGTGTCCTCCATTTTGATTTGGGGAATGAAGCCAGCAGCACCACACTGAAACCATCACCTTCATCCAGCATGCCACCAAAAGACATTGTCCTGTTTGAAACCCTTAAGTGACCAATCAGCACGCAGTTACAGCACACTGGTGCTTTCTGGGTAAAATCATTGTCACTGAGAGAAATTGAAGGTAACGAGTCTTCAGACGTGTTACTGATTTATGGAAACGACGAATAAAATGTTTTCTTGTTTTAGCTCTGTCATTCTTACTCAGTGAAGACTGTCTGAGAGCGCCCCCTAATGTCAGGCCAGTGAAACTGATATACAAACAAGGCCAAGCACAGTTCCACCAGCGCGATGAAGAAATGTTGCTGCAGTAACTCAAAGATTCTGATAAATGTGTTCAGACTGTGATGATGATCTGCTGTAACTCACAAAACCTTTTCTTTCACGTAAGGACTTTGGTGTGGTTCGAAGCAGCAGGAAATGAAACTCATGAAAAAGTCCAGAATTTGATCCTCCCTTCACATTTTCCCGTTCTGGCCCTCGAGCCTTATATTTGACACCCCAGGATTAAAGAGTGGTATAGGGGGTGGGGCGGGGCTTGTGTGTGTGGTGACTGTTTATTAGTTTAGAATTAGCTGCATGTCGACTCCGGCGTGTCACGAGGGAGCAGCGGGCTCGTCTCAGCCCCGCCCACTCGGTGCAGTCCAGGACAACGTCCAGCGTCACAGCACGCCTCAGGTGGCCCCGAGGACTTCTCTCACTTCGTCCGTTAGAGCGCGCTCGGTGACAAAAGAGTGGAGCCACTTGTTTTCAGTTTATGTGTTTATTTATGAAAACAAATGAACTCAGAAAATAAGGATCCCATATCAGTAATTACATCAAATAATTCACTTGTTTCGTCCCCTCTGCGTCTCTACGAGTGGAGCTCGCTCTAACCTCAGACGGCTACTTTACAGCTACTATACAGCGCTCAAACATACGCGAGAAAAACGTACGGCCGGAGTGCATGCAATACATAAAACCACTGTTTCCTTTTCTTATTAAAATACAAAATTAACTATGAGCGTCGAAGCTCAACCATCAACTAAAAACAAAGAGGAGGGTTACTGTGGCAACGAGCTGTCCGCCTGTCTGTCGCAGGGGGTCCCGATCGAACGCTTTGCCCGGTCCATCGAGTCGTAATGCGCCCGCAAAACAAAACGTGGAGGCTAAAGGAAAGATCCGTGACAACAGATGACGATGCGGTGCCACCCGGAGGTCGTGTGATCACGACGTCAGATTATTCTCCAACACCTGCCATTTACAGGTTTCTTACCAGGTTACCTCCAGGGGGCACCACAGGTAAACTGATCTCCAGCTGGAGGTCGCCAATAATCAGGGGTCAGAGGAGCGAGGGGAGGTGAGGTTTTACTGAACACGCCCCCTGGCTCCAGCCAATCGGAAACCATTTATATCATTGGGCATGCCGATTCAACAGTTTCAGTAAAACTCTACGTCTAATATTCATGATTCATCTTTGTTTGCGCTCTGCAGCTTGTACAAAATTCAGAACGCCACCGAGGACGCGGCGGTCAACGTCATGATGAATTTTTCAGAGAAAACAAACTTCCTGTTTGTCGATATTTCCTTTGCCAAGAACCGACACGGCGTCCAGGGATAAGAACTATGGCCGCGTCCCAGAGAGCCCAACACCATCGGAGGTGTAATCATAGGTCAGAGGGCAACAGGCCTATCCGCCTGACACTGACGTCAGGTGATCAGAAATCTGACGCCACAAAGCCCAACGTAAGCCACAAACATCTGCCGAGCGCTTGACAGACGGGTTTTTTCTGAAATCGCGAAAATGAGTTGTGACTGCGGTGGGCGTGGCATTTTCCTCAGAAATCGTTTCTTGCGTCCTGATGTCCTCCGAGCGGCAGCGAGCTCTAAAACCTTAAAATAAATTGTCTAAAAAGCTTTAAAAGAAACGAGGTGCTCCGAGTTTGGACCCTGACAGGAGGAGGCGGTACAGTATGAGTGGTTCTTTTTTGGCGGGGTGAGAATGGGGGCGGCGCTTGAACAGGACAGCAATAGAAAGACATTTTATATAGAGAACCTTATAAGACACAAACAAGTTCAGCACACAACCTGAAAATCAAAAACAGGAAATGTAGTGTTAAAAAAAAATAAATCAACGTCTCTGTGCTGACAGAGCCGTGCTGGGGGCGGGGTCAGGATCCTGTGACCCCACCCACATTGCCACGATGACCCCAAGGACAAACAGGAAGTTGTGTCTAGGGTTGCAGGACCAGCAGGGGGCAGGGTTGGTATCAGAGGTTTTTAAGGTGGAGCTGAAAGATCCAGAAGCCGGTTCGATCCAAAGGGTCGATCAGTCAAAAAAATCTGGTTTATTTCCCGCTGAGACGATCCATCAAGAGTCCACTTGGACACTTTTTAAAGCGTTACCTGATGAGGACTCAGCTCCAGAGCAGGCGGCATGGGCACGCCCTCTGTTCTATCTGCAGGCACGCAGTTTCCTGTTACGTGTTTTAAAGGGTTTAACGCCAAACTGAACCAACCACCATAAACAAAATCAGGGTTTTGGCCTGGCGCCGTCAGTTACCCGTCATAAATACCTCAAAATTTAAATAAAGTTTTGAATTAAAGATACTTTTTGTAACAACCTTCTGCAGAATGTAACTAAACATTCCACCACCAGGGGGCACCATGTCACCACTGACTGAGGTTAGGCCTTGTCCTCTTCGTTTTCACACTGGCACAGGAATGTACTCATACCCGTTTTAAATAAAGTTTACGCTGGTTTCATTTAGTGGCACAAACTGGTATTACACTAAAGTTCTTCCTTTTTCACCTCAGTGACACACTTTTAATTTGAAAAGCTTTTAATTTTAACATTTAAGCTGGATTTTACAAAAAGTACCTTTAAACTGCTAAACTGTATTTTCCTGCTGACCCCGCCCACTGCCATACTCCTGCCTGTTTCCCACCTCGCTGGTTTTCTCAATCCCAGTTTAAAGTAGCAGACGGCACATCAGAAGGAGGGGCTAAACAACGCCTTGCCGCCAGGTTCAGAGAAAAAACGGTTATTTGTAAAACTGTTCTGTGATGTCACACGCTGACATCGTCAGGTCTTCTCTCTGCTGCAGCGCTGCCGACAGCTTCAAATGAAACGTGAGATGCGCTCATTCGTCTCAGTATCCACAAACCTGCTGAGATCACCTGCTCCTCCTCTCCAATGATACTTGTGGAATGTATTCAGAGGTCAGGGGTCACCGCCAGCCGTCCACGAAGAAGAAAAAGACGAAGAAAGAAAGTCTCGACGGTTGCATTTCTGTCCACAGATCAGTAAGACTCCCAGACGGGCTGCCCATCGCTCTACCTGACTCCGCCCACATCCTTCCTCCTCCATCACTTTCTTCTGTCTGCAGTCCTCCAATAGCGGAAAAAATGAAACAAAAAACAAAAGCACTAGGAGCTAAAAAAAACAAACAGGTCAGCCTATTTACATCCAGTCTCTGTGTTTAAACGTGTGTGTAACAAGTTCAGAGTGTGTATCTCTGTCTTTGTGTTTGTTCAGGATGGAGGTGTGTGTGTGTGTGTGTGTGTTCAGTAACACGTGTATGTGTGAACGCGTGTTCAGTCTGTGTCGGAGGATGAGGAGGTTCCTGTCGAGGAGCTGTCATCGGAGGAGGAAGAGGAGCTGCCACTCAAACGACTGGCCCCGCCTCCTGAGGCCCCGCCTCCAGCTGCCTTCTCTGAAAAGAGAAATAAAGGAAGACGAGTCAATGAGACAGTCCCGGCCAGGTGACACCGTTTCTGTTGGCGCTCGATGATTGTTGCCTAGACAACACGGCTCAGTCGCCCAAGTCCAACGCTCACACGATGAACCCACCCCCCGTATCGGACCGCTCAGACATCGACGGCCGTGCTTTTGAGGCGGTACTTACGCAGTAGCTTCCTTTGCTTCTTCTGCAGGCAGGACTTGACGTAGCGCTCGAGCTCTCGGAGCGTGGAGGGTTTGAGCGTCTCGAAGTCGATCTCGATCTCGTCGGGGTTCGAGTCCCTCAGCGACGGCTCTCTGGTCTGGATGATGTGCACGACACGGCCCAGCTTCTCTCCCGGCAGCCGGTTGATGTCCAGACTCAGCTGCCGCTTCTCATCGTACGACATCGGCAGCGACGACTCCTCGCCGTCGTCCCCGTTGGCTGAGCCGCTGCCCGACGTCTTGCTGCCTTTCTTGGGTTGCCTGGAAACACAGTCACTGCGGTCACTACATTGTCCCTTTTCTCAGGTGGATTTGCTGAACACTGAGTCGTACCTGGTGGCCGTCACCGTGCTGTTGGCTTTTCTGGCTGGCGCCTTCTTCTGATTGGCCGGTTTGGGCTGCTGGGCGGCGGCCTTTGGCTTCTTCTCTTCCTCCATCTTGCCTTTATTTCCCTTGTCTTTCTCCTTCTCTTTCTTCTTCTCCTTGTCTTTCTTCTCTTTCTTCTTCTTTGGCTTGCTGACCGGCGCCTGGGACAGGACCGCCAGCTGCTCGTGCACCGCCTTCAACTGATGGAATAAACTGATTATCAATACCCGTCATCTGTGATCAATACACGGCCACGCCTTCACGGGGTGAGTCACAGGGGCCATGGATATTTCAAACATGAATGTCAAGTAAACAAATCGTGAAATCTAAAATGATAAAAAGAAGAAAACCAAGATGTTCTTGACCTGTGATTGGTCGGCAGCACCAACCTGCTCCTGTAGCTCAGCCAATCGCGTGGCCCGCTCCTCCTCAGAGTCGGACGATTCGTCAGAGGAGGAGTTGTTGCTGCTGTCGGAGGAGGCGGTGCTTTTGCTGACCACCGGTGTCGTGGTGGGGACCGACGCCTCCAGGCCCTCGTCAGGGATTTTAGCGAAACGCATTTCAAACACGTCCTAATGGCAGACGGGTTATCGATACCTGATCGCAGCGATCGATCGAGCAGGAAACGGAGGCTTTACGTACCTGCAGCTTGCGGGCCATGGCCACCACCTCGTGGTCTGGGGGGTTGTACTTGTAGCAGTTGGAGAACATTAACCTGACGTCAGTGGCGAAGCTCTGAGGGTCGCTGTACTCGCCTTTATCCATTTTTTTCTGTCAGGAAACAAAAGAACGTCAGAGATGGCGCCAAACCTCCCATTTGGACATCTGAAGGTGCGGAGTACAGACACCCAGCGGCGTTAAAAGTAGGGGTGCAACGATATTCGTATCGATATTGAA